TGGGATAAGAAGGTGTATTCAGTCAATTCAGCAAATATGTATTAAGCACCTACTACATTCCAGGCACTGTTCTAGGAGGTTGGGGTATATCAGTGAATTTAAGTAGAACTTATATTTGGAGAGGGTGAGAAGGGACTGATAGTTAACAATGAACATAATAAACAAGTCAATTGTATAGTATGTTAGGTGAAGATAATAAGTACTATTTTTAAAAAAGGGAGAGCAGAGTCATGGGGAGATGGGCATGCAGGAAACAGTATTACATAGTATGGTCAGAGGCTGCCTCATTGAGAAGATAAGACTTGGAGGAATACTTGAGGTAAGGGATTTAGCCAAGCAGATACCTGAGGGTACAGATAGCCAGGCAGGAGTCAGAGCAATGACCCTACGTGAATGAACATTAGCAGAAAAAGCCAAAGAAGTTAAGATCTCTCGGCTTCTGAAAGGAAATTGGCTGCAAAGTGAATTCAATTTATAAGGTGGACTAAAGCATTCTCATTCCACATCCACTTGGTTTCAAAACCTCTTGTTGCTATAACCATTGAATACATAGTTTTAAAGATATGACCATTCGTGTGTTTTTCAAGTTACCTTCAAAACATAAATTCCTTTAATAGTAATCAAACCTTAGGAAAGTCAGGGTTATTTCAAATCTTTTAAAATTGTGGTCTTTAGATAACTGAGCTATTCTTCCTGTGAGTATAATAACATTTGGAAGAAAAAAAAAAACAATATCCCCTACATTTAGATGCTTATTTGCCTTATGTATGAAGAGTACCGTTCAAATTTTAGCATTTTGTGCAAGTTTGGCCTTGGCTGATTTCTGTGAAATATCTGCAGTAAGGATTCAAGGGACAATAGAAGATACCTTGACCACCTTGAGGAAATGAAAGAGGCTTTATTTCAGACATTCAACATGAAGCTACCTAATTGAAATGCCAAACAAAACTAATCCACTAATCTAATAAAGAATTTACAATAATACAAAGAAATTCTTTAACATTAGCACTTCAGAAAAGTCCAGGAAATAAAATTTGCCTTGAGGAAAGGAACAAAGCCATTAAATAAAGTCCTATTACTGATGTGACAAATGGCAAAATCATTGCCTGTGGCATCCAAACGCCCATATCCGCAAGGTAATACCTCATAGTAATTCCAGATGGAAGTATCTCTGATCCATTTGAAGNATTATAGTAAAAGAAAGGTTTAAATAACTATATAATCTGCCTTAAGTTACATGGTTTTAGAGTGGAGATCAAAATGAAAGCCTAAGTCATTACAATGTGCTATATTCTTATCCGTGATACCATAATAGTAATTTTTACCAGTATTCATTAAATAAGTTCAATCATAAGAATTGGAATGTTTTCTGATTAAACTTTACATGCAATATATTGTTTAATTTGAGATTCTTAGATATATAATATTTATAGATACATTTTAAAGCTATTTTTAAATGTTTTTACTCATTATCAAATACTTAGGTGTATTTTTAATACATTAAATTAATCAGTTGTGTGTGTGTGCAATATCTAATGCCAATTACTATTCTTATATCAGACTGTACTGTTTTCATCAATGTACCTGAATAGTTGGACTGAAAATTGAAATCTTTTAACTAATTATGAATATGAAGCACAGTGAAATAGAAAGTTAGGCTGTAAGAAGTAAGGCTCTTCATGTGTGTCATCACCTCGGTTCCATTTGCCTAACAGACAAGTTTACATGAAGAATTCCATGCATCTTCTTTGTTGTCATAGGTGCAGAGTCCAGCGGTGACATGGATGTTCTCCTGACCCATCCAAGCTTTACCTCTGAGTCAACCAAACAGGTACCTCAGAATTTATAATCAATGTGATCAGTCTTACATAGCAGTGAATATCATTTTCTAAATGATAGTTTGGTATTTTCAGGATATGTTGTTGTTTTTTTTTTAATCTTTATGAAAAGTCAATTGAAATGTTTCATACTGATTGGATTCTGTGAAAGGCAAAATAAGTTGTTGAAATGGATACATGTTTTTCCACAAGGAATTGGGAGGCCAGTCTAATATTTGAAAGAGATGAAATTTAGTAAAATATTTCCAGAATTATTGTCTGTCATAGATGTTTTAGAAATACCCAGTATGATATTTAGGTTTTCATTGAAGGAATATTTTCTATTAAAAATATTATATTATGAAACTTTACCTCACAAAGGCAAATGTTTTTGATTTTAGAATGTATACATTTTAAAGATGAAGCAGCTAACTTTTTGATTTAATGAAACAGATAAACTCAAATGATGGTTTTTGGGTATNCTTTGGTTAAATTCTTCAACCTCTCTGAGTTTCATTTTCCTCATCCGTAATTAGGAGGTGTGTTACCTATCTCAAGTTGTAAGGAAGGCTAAATGAGGTATTATGCATACAAGATCTGGCACGTGGTAGGGCTTTCTAAATGTTAGTTTCCTCCCTGATTTATAGGCAAATTTATAGCTGAGTGCCCTGAAAAGCCACTTTGCTTATTTAACATGTTAATACCTAAGGCCATTGGACTCTACCAGGGTGTCTTCCCAGCTCCTAAATTAATCCAATTTACCTGCTAGGCAAGAGATTTCAGACAGGAATCTGAAGGGCTCACTTAAACCCAGATCCAGCACCACCAAACAGCAGTGCACAGCGAGCGTCCCCTCCTCCCTAGCTGCGTTTTACCTTCCGAGCCCCTTGCAGGTCAGCAGCGCTCTTGATGTTGTTGAAGTCCAGAACCAGGGCTCCCAGAGGAGCGCAGAACCAGCTGAGCCCCAGCAAGACCACCACGGCCATCCTTCAATCGCCTGGTCTCCTAGGCCTTCTTCTCAGTACTCGCCTCTGAAGCTGGGCTGCTCTAAACCCACAACAGAGCTTTTGCCACAACGAAAACTTAGCAAGTTGCCTGTGACTGCTTTCTCCTGAGAGAAGCAAATCTACGTCTGAGTGAGGTGTGTGAAACAGGAGCGAGGCCTGACCAGTGGTTCTTTCTGAAACTATTTATAACCAGAGATGCCCCCTCATTTCTCTCTGCCTCCCGCCTCCTTCATTTCCTTCCTTCTTACCCCACACAGGCTTCAACAAATCCCTTCAAATCTGTTTGATCAATAGTTCAAAACAAGGACTCAATAGAGGGAGAGAAGAGGCAGGGCAGCAGCGGCTTCTCCTCCAGGGGTGAATCCCTCTTAATTATTGCATATCAAAGTTAGTTCAAAGGGCTAGCAGAGAGCAGGATGTCTGTATCAAAGGCAAATGCTGATAATCACCTGCATTTCCTACCTTCTATAATCCTTTGGGGGTGGAGGGAGTCTGTTTTAAGATCTGTTTTCACAGCTAATTGTGCTCAAAGAAAGAATGAATCGTATTGGCCAATGTGCTAGGGAGGATGCCAAAAACTAATGAGTTACAAAATATTCTGAAAAGCTTTAAACTGTGCTTCAGATAGTGAAGACAGATAGAAACAAGAGAAAATGCCTTCTGATTTGGTCTGGCATCCAGATGTAAAAAAAAAAAAAGCAGCTTAAAAGCTGTGAACGTACTAGCACCTGTTCCAACTAAATGTCAATGGGAAAATAATTTTCCTTAAATGAAAATTGAACTGTTTGAAGTTAGGGTTATTTAGGGAAATGATGAGATTTATTAAAATCCCGTTTCTTGATGATGGGGACACAGAAAGTCCATTTTATACAGATGTATACAATTCAACAGGAAGCTTTGGATCCATTTTATGAGCAAAACATTTCATTTGTATTGCATTATGTTAAATTGACTCACGCAGAACAGGTCCCCAAGTCTAGCTGATGATGGGATTTCATGTATTTTCAACTTTCCTAATTTGAATTTTTAAAAACTTCTGCTTCGTCCCTTTTTGTCTGATTTTTTTCCCCACCCAGATTGTTAGAGAAGTCAAGTAATTTAGACAAGGGCTTCTCGCTGAATAAGTACTTGAAGGGTAGAACAATCTAGATCGGGGTCACAGGATTTCTGTTTTTCCTTCCTTCATTGTTTTCATTGTCCTCAGTGTAGATTCATCCTTGCACCTCGGCTGTGAGGTGCTGTTTAAAATCTAACAGTGCGCCTTTCTATGGTGTAAATGGCAATCTTAGCATTCCTGGGTCTCCCTCCAAGAACAGCCTCACCTCAGTTTATTGAAATGTATGTTGACAGTCTGTACAATGGGAACATTCTCCCTCGTGAGCACTGCCCGGTGCCATTTGGCAGCTGACGCTGGTGACCCGGGGCTTCCGTTACTGGGCTCTCTTCCTCGTGGAGGTGCTGCTTTGTCTGCCATGCATATGGTACAATGCAAGCTACTTCTTCTCTGCAAGTACTGCTTTTTTTCACTTAAACCGACAACATCAAACACCCTTTGATAGCATGACGCACCTGGTGACTACGTGGGTTACAGAACTGATTTTGAAGTTGGACAATTATGACCAAGGATAAAGGAGAGAGCCCCAGGGTTTGCTCTCTGCTTCCTGTTACCTAACTGAAGAAAGGCTTTCAGGGCACAATGGGCTCTCGTAATATACACAGACAAAAAGACTGGTGGGATATCCTGTAACAGAGCACAAACATTCAGGGGGCATTTTGTATGTAGCAGAATCTATGGTTAGATGTTGGGAATAAAGGATAAAACACAGTCCTTGTCCTCGAGGAGTGAGTGTCCAGTCAGAAGACTCACAGTGAGGGATGATTGTATTATATTATGACAGCACTAAGATAAAGGTGTAAATGCGGGGCTGGAGGATCACAGAGGAGGGTGATAGACCTCCTAGAGAAACAGAGGAATGCATCTACAGAGGAGGTGATATTTGAGCTGGGTTTTGTGGGATGAGTAGGAGTTTCCTAGGTTGAGAGGCAGGGGATGGTCTCACCCCAGGCTCAGAGGGCGAAGCGTGTGCAGGGGCAGAGGGGTGGAGAAGGAGATGAGGCTAGACTGTGAAGAACCTGATATACCACAAAAATAAAATTGGATTTTACTTTACATGCAGTGGAAAGTCATTGGAGGTATTTGAGCTTGAAAATAACCTAATTTGCTTTTTAGGAAAACAGTGCTGGTGGCAGTTGGAGCTGGGGTTGTAGTGAGTGAAAGGGGATGGGGCGATCGCTTATTCTCAGTTGCACTTACTCCCGATGATGAGGAGGTCGGATGTAAGGCAGTGACACAGTAACAATGAGAACCAAGCAAAGGATGCGATTCTAAAGTTGATCCTTATCATTTGGGGTTGGGAGTGAGTAACAGGCTGAGCTAACGCTGACATTTCTAGTTTTGCATGCTGGGTGCATGGCGATGGCATTAGAGACAGGGAAATCAGGATGAAAGCATGTTAGGGGAGGCAGGATGACTGTTGGCCATAAAAAAAGCGTCAAGTCCTTGCTGGGTATCTAACATCCAGGCAGAAGATTAGCCACCATGTCTTCCAGGAGCAATGCTCTCCTTTTTGCCTCCTACAGACAGAGGGAAGGAGAGGATATAGACACCAGATGCTGGAGGGTCACAAACAGGGCATTGAACGAGACCAAAAGGCAGACTTCCCTGTCTTCATCTCTGTCTCTGTGTGTCTGTCTCTTTCAGCACAGAAAGAGTACAGGCTTTGGGGTCAGGCTGACTTCATTTGACACAAGGCTGGCTTCTCCTATATACTCTGATGCCCCCCTCCCCTGTGCATCTATCTTATAAAACTCTATCGCAATTGTCTACGTTTTTGTCTCTACAACTAGATGATAAGCTCTGTGAGGGCAGAGCTTACTCTTTTTTGAATCCTCATGCTTTGAGTGTCTGGCACATAATAGAAGCTCCATACATTTTTCTGTGTGATGGATAAATGCACAAATAAATGGATTTATAGTAACTTGGTGACTTTGGTTAAGTTACTCCACCTTTTTAGGCTGAAATCTGCAATCTCATCTATAAAGGTGGCACTACCACTCCTATAATGACTGTATTTTGAGGATTCAATGTATTAATATGTGTATAGGGCCTGTTATGGTAACTGGCACTCATAAAACTCTAAATAAATGTCTCTCACCCATTTTCCAGGCCACAACCTTCCACCATCACACAAACTTTACTACCTAGCATAACACATGGCCCTTCCATGGCAGGCTCTCAATAGTAGATGTTTGTTCAAACCAATTTATCAACCGGAAGCCTCATTTTGCAATAAGGCTATTTGTGTCTTCTAAAAAGCCAGAGCAATTTTGAGAAAAGTAAGTACGGGGGAAATGACTTTTGGTATATTTTCAAGTCTGCCGGGGCTGCTTGCCTGATAATCATCACAGTGTTCCTTAGCTGGGATGCCAACAACCGAAATGCGATGCCCGATGGCAGCATTAATCGTCCACCATAAGGCTGCATCTCAATTATTTGGGGATTAGGGATGATAGAGCAGTGGGAAGAAGATGACAGAAACAAGTAAAGGGGGGAGACGAAGGCTTTAAAAGTGTTTCTGCTTAAAAGGCATTTTTCTCTGCTCTTAGGTCAGGGCACCAAAATTCACAATGCAGACTGCAGCGTTGCAGAGCCCACTCAACACGCCCCCTCGAGCATTGCCCTGGGCTGTGGCTGTCTCTCTCTGTCAGCCACAGAACAAAGGGAGCCCTCACGTGCAGTTTTGGCCCAGATGCTGCCATTTTGATGCCCCCCGGCAAGGATTATAGATTAACTGAAAATCTCAAGATGATCCTCTTAGTTCCACGTGAGCACCTGGGCCAAAGGAACACTAAAATCGAGCAATATTGATTGAACTTAGAGGAAATGAAAATCCACCCTCCCCCCCACCCACCCCCCAAAAATCCCAAGGGCCCCAGTTTCGGCACTGTAGGTCTGAAGCCACTCTCTGGGTGATTCATGACCTGGGGAAAAAAATGCAAACTGGTGTGTGAGAGCTGACACCTGTATCCTTCCGAATGACAGCTGTGGTAGTTCAAGTCAAAGCAGAGTGTCAGAGCCCATGATTGATACCCACTTAGGAATGGAAACTTTTATTTGTTATGGCTCCTGTGTCGAAACCAGTTTGATTTCCTTAAATTTTGCTTTTCTTAAAAGAAAATCAAAGTAACTGAAACCAGCAGGCCTTTGGCAGAATCTCACAGGAAATGTTCAATAAATAAAAGATGAGACGGGGCATGCTGATGAGAGTAGACAAAGATTACAGGATATAATCACAAAGCTGATGTAAATGTTGCCATGTAGTTACCTGAGGTCAGAAGGTAAAGCAAACCATTTGCAATGGCCAGGAGTAGAGTGTGTCAGATGTCTTGCAACGAAGCATGGGGGCAGCACCCAGACAGCACAGGTGGGAGCCAGGGAAACTGGGTTCCAGCCTCTTCCACTGACTGTGTGGCCCTGGATAGGTCCTGTTACCTCTCAGCTTCAGTCCCGCATGATCTTAAAGGCCTCTTACAGACCAGTTTTCTGGGAGTTTATGGTGGGGTCGCCCCAGCCACCATGTTGCGTAGTTCCAGGGGGCACCTCAGACAGTAGCCTGTGTGAATGGTCCCCACTTTGGAGTTGTGTGACATGGTGGGGCTAGAGACCCCTCTTTTGTAGCAGCAATAGCCTTAGAGTTCTCCTGACTCTGCACCAGGCATCTAGCTAGGAACAGCACCAGGAATCCCCGAACCTGCCTTTTTCAAAGATACGCTCTGCCTTCTTTTTGCTGAAAAAATTTAAATGGTGTTGTGTGTGATTTCATAAACCCTAAATGCCTTGGCCATCTTACCCTGTTTCTGGGCACGCTCCATACTTGTTTTAGTATGTTTGGGCTGATACAACAAAAATACCACAGACTGGGTGGCTTATAAACAACTGAATGTGTTTCTCAGAAGCTTGAAGTCTGAGATCAGGGTGCCTGCAGGGTCAGGTTCTACGTCAGGTGAAGGCCTGCTTCCTGGCTCATGAATGACTGTCTTCTCACTGT